GACCCTGCTCTGGAGGGGCTCCGGGGCCGATTCCGCAGGGCGGATGTCATCCTTCGGCCCCTCTAATTGAACACTAGCGATTCGCCTCGAAGCGCGCTTCTGAAACGTAATGCCCAAGTGCTTTGTGGAACGCTTGCCTGGATCAGAAAGCTTGTGCTTTCGTTTTATTTTTTTTTAAATAATCTCTTATTTTAGTTACACTTTCAGGTAAGTTCGTATCTCTTGCCCCAAGCTGGAAAACAGGAAACCGGTGCGTGCGGGAGACCTTGTTTGCTGCCAGACAGCAAAGACCCTTTTCGGGAAACTGTTTTCTTATTATTATTATTTTTAAAGTAATACCCTTCTGTTTCCTTTGGACAGTGTTAATGTGCCGAGGGAAGGCAATGCAAGATTTCAAAGGTCCGGATTGTCGCTTTGTAAATTTTAAGAAGGGAGAAGCGGTGTACGTGTATTACAAACTAATAGGAAAATCGACTGAGCTTTGGGCTGGAAGCGTGAGTACTGTAAAGCATTTCTTCTGCTTGCTCTTCTTGCTGCTTTCTGTTGGTAATCTTTTTTCCTTCCCTATGCCTTGTATGTGGGAGAGCGCTTAGGGCTTTGAACATAGTTAAATAACATCATGAATGCCGTTTTGTCTTGAGACCAGCGTGAAGTGGGTTGTGGTTTGGTCAAACCAAAGGCATTAAGTGCTGTGAAAAGGGAGCAACGCTAATGTGTGCTAAAAACTGTTAGAAACGGCCTTTGTGTTGAAAACCTCCCATTGCAGCACAGTAAGCAGTGGCCCACGAGCCTGCCTGGGAGCTGAGCCTCCCTTCCCGTCTCGGGAGGCTTAAGCCTGTGCTTGTGTTTACCCGTGGCGTGGTCTCATCCTGCGCTCCATAATCCTGATCGTTCCACGTACGTGCTTTAATCATGTTTCTCTTCCTAGTGTTCAGCTGCTGTCTTCCCCTTTTTCATTAAGCTGCATGCAGAACTGTATGGAAAAAAAGTAGTAAAACTAAAAAGAACTGAGGTAAATTCAATGTTTCAAACGTCTATCTCTGAGCTTTAGTAACACGTTGTAGCAGCTTGCAGAGTAGTGGCCTTCTCCCAGTCCCTGTCATCTTTAGGCAATCAAGAGAGGGTTAATGGGAAAGGAAGGTCTCCATACTCGCAGTTACTGCATAGAAAACTCCTCTCAGCTTTCATGATAAACACCTTGTTTGCCTGACAGAAGCAGAACAGAGATACCCTAGAGGAAGAGCAGTTTTTGTGGGCTTTCCTTGAAAACACTGGCAGTCTGGAGGTTGCTTAGACCCAATCCCCGTTGCCCCCTCCCCAGGCTTCCCCTACATACATTCTTGTGTCCGAATCATTTACTTCAACCTCCTTTCTTACTCTGGTCTTCTACAACAGAGAGACAACTGCCTGGGACAGTGGTCTAGGCTGCTTGAAGCCACAGCTGGGCGTTAACCATGGGACCAGTGGTTTAGTGAGAGGCAGATGTATCACTTTCTCCAACCTGTTTGGGCTGGGTGTGGACAGCCAAGCTCTCAGCAGGAGCTGAATCCAATTAGAGTGATACAGAAGAAAGCAGAAAACTGCAGCACGTGGTTAAAGAAGAGTTTATAATTGTATCATGCTGGTAATTCCCTTCTGACATGTACTGTACCATAAATAATCTGGTTAATTAGCTGGTGCAGGTTTCCAGGGCTGCCAGTTCCTGAGACACAGAGTAGCAGCGTGGGGCCAATTTTGCATCTTTTAGCAAAATGTAATGCAGGCTGCAAGATCAGACAGCAGGTTTAGGTAATTGCTGAGTTAATATTCAGTTTAACTACTCACTGATAGGAAGCTCATGCAACAATTAGGTGTGTCTCCAAGTTAAAAGGATGTTTGCCTTGAGTGAACAAGTTTTTAACTTCAACACAGCTGAAGTTGGCAAGTCTAAAAGAATTGCAAAGCTCCATTTTATTTGTTGTGATTTTTTTAAATTGTGTTACGCTATTTTCTATGTTCCTTTTAGGGCAGTGATGACAGACGAATTCCTCCCAGTTCGTGGCTATAATCTTTATTTCTTTTTTTTCCCCGGTTTTATTGACTGCTGCTGCATTAATCGTAATACTGCAACAACCAGCGTGCAATCGCTGCGGCGGGGTCGGGGGTGCCCACCCTTGCTCACTGAGTAGGGGACCAGCATGCCTGACCCTGACCTTGCAGATAGCGTGGGGGTCTCTCTCATGCAACATGACTTCCCGTGCCAGATTCGGCTGGGCAGCTTGATTTATCCAGCCCAGCCGTGCCTGCTGTGGGCAGTCTTGGAGCTAGGGGGAAGCTGTTGCTTGCTAATTAAAACCAGGCCACCTCGTGAGGTCTGTGTTCAAACAAATTCCAGCGGAAGGCATGTTACCTTCTGCCGCAGCCCTTTTGGGATCTCATCATGTGACTTTGTGTGCTCGTGTGTATCGTTTGATCCCATCTATCTACACTTCTGCCTTTTTCTATTCCCCAAAGTTTTGGGGGAAAGTGTTTGTTAGAACATGATGGAAGCTATGAAATCAAGGGATAACCAGTATTCTGGTGTTCAGATGGGGGCAGAGGTTAGGGGAGTGTGTGTATGAGAAGCTCCAACTACTGCAGCCTGGGGCTTATTTCAAACAAGTTGTAAATACAGGCTCTAATCCTGAAATCGATTTTCAGGAGCCATAAGAAATACAATAGTGTTTCTGACCTGGAGGGAGATGATCTGATAAGAAAGGAGCCTTTCACCAAGGCTGAAAAATCTATAGCAGTTGGGTCTGGGCTTTATTTGCCTCTGCTTTTCTAATTCACTCCGCCCTTTTCAAGCCATTGTTGATTTTTTTTTTCTTTTTTTTTTTTTTCCCCCCTGTGCCAGCAAACATGCTGTATTTTAACAAAATATATCCTGTATCTTATGATCCCAGTCTTTTATATTTTATTGCTTGCGGAACTCCCATTTGAGTTTAGTGAGTGTTTTGCATGTGAAAAAATTCTGGAACCCAGCTAAGAATATATATTCTATATGTTATATAGCATGCAGTTTTTAGCAGAGCTGTTGAAACCTCATTAAAGCAAAACCAAATGCTTGGACAGTATTTTATGACTATTATTTTATGACTATTATGTTATGAATTTCATGATGGTGTCAGTTCCAGGAAAATACTTGATTTTTTTTTTTTCCCAAAGCCAAAAGGTGGGGCACATCTGGAACTGTAATTGTCCAATGCACCCTGTCCTGCTCTAGAACCAGTCTCTTCTTCAGCATCCACCTCACATTGTTTACACCATCAAGCTGTGTGATGTAAACTTTCCTTCCGTCCATTTCTCCTGCCCTCTCCCCTCATCTTTAGCAGGGTCCAGAACTCCAAAACTACTTCAGATAATGCCAACTAGAAACTGCTGCTTTATGACAAAACATTTCGGCAAAGATATTTTAAATTCTTGCTGCAGAGGATTGTTATTTTATCTTGCGGCAAAAGGCTGAACTTTATTCCTTTGATTCAAGGTTAAGAAAACGATTTCTGGCCTCACATTATAAGAAATGGACTTGGCTGCAGATCGTGGCTTTTTTGAGTGGTGTGGGGTTTTTTGTTGTTCTTTTCAAATCTTAGGGCAATAAGAAAGAAGACAGGAGGGGTAAATGTAAAGTAAGACAGGAAGACAGAGTATGTCTGGAGGAACCGGAGGATCAGGGAATTTTTTCGTGCTGTTTCTGTATTTTCTTAACAATGCCAGCGTTCAGAAAGGGCAGACCAAACCAACTCTTCTTTGACCAGTGTTCTGCAGTTTTCGGTACCTGTGATGCTTGTGCTTTAGGGATGTGGGCTTTAATCATTTGAACATTGTGTTTCCCAGCGGTCTTGTTTTCTGCCACTGCAGTTGGTGGCGTGAGAAGCTGGTTTCTTGGTAAGAAGTGGTCAGTGAATCTGCTGCAGCTGGCTGCCAGACATGGGCACTGGTGGGGACAGATGCTGTGTGCTCAGCTACGTGTTTCATCCACCCACGGCGTTTTAGCTGGGAAGAGAGCAGAACTGAAGGATGCACTTTTTTCTCCCTTATGTACTTGGCATTCATAATGCCTTCCCTCTGTCGTGTCTGTAGAGAATATAGAAACTTTCCTTCATTTGCACAATGACGCATTTTTGTCCTTACAAGAGAGGACTTGTAAGGAGAGGAACAGACGAAATTTTGGGCATGCAGATCCCAGATGGTTCATAAACCAGATAAATGGCAAACTGGGTCACTGCAGAGGACTTGTATGGTCAGCAGCTTGAATTATGCTAAACGAGTTTAAAATTGTGATGCCTAATTATAATGGTAGTCATGGAGATTAGTCTGTGAGGAGGCTACTTTGAAGCTTTGGCTTTTGTTTTGAGAAAGATAATTTAAAACTTGAATAGGAGTTTATAGAGAGAAACTGGCCAATTTAGAATAAAACTGTATACTGCACAAGGACAAGCTTTTAATTTTACTTGTCTAGTTTAATTTGCCATTCCCGGTAATTCCCAGTAATAAACCTGCATACATTATCTCTTTTCTATAAGAGAGTATCTCTATATGTTTACAAAAGGTGGGAAAGTAATAGATTTTTTTTTTAATATAGATGTGTAACTAACTTCAGAGATAATCCACTACGGAAGGTAAAATTTGAAGGAGAAATAGTTAAAAAGGAAGCCCTATAATGTATCGGTGCTTTCTTCTCTTGCATAATTAAAAAAAGCCCAAACAAACAAAACCAAAAAAGCATTACTACATATTATTTTTCTTTTTTTTTTTTTTTTTTTTTAATTCCATTGTAAATCCAGAAAACTTCAGCCCAGGTTAACCTATTTCAGTGGTATCAGTGTAACAATATGTATATCTATCCATAATTGTTTTCACATAACCGGTTTCCTTTTAAATTTGATCTTTAATTTAGTGCTCTTCCCAGACAAACTCTTCAAGAAAATTGGCAATTGTCCTGTTCCTCCTATAACAAAACATTGGGGAAATGACCAACGCTTTTCTTTCCCCCAGATACTCTTGTTGTCTAGGAACTCTGTACCTTTCTAGGTGTGTCTACCAGGCTCTAATTGCCTGGATTATCTAATCCGTGCAGCGATAGCATGCTATTAATATTGGCTTCTTGACAGCAGTTTTCAAAACTCAAGTGAGAGCATTACTGTGTAGATCTTATCTGGTCAGTGATAAGAGAGATTTGTCTTCCACTCTTTGCCTTGGCTTAGCACACTGACTTGCTTGAAAATAGGTATCTGCTACTGATTTTTGCTTGTATTAGTCACTGAGGAGCAACAATGCGTGTGCAGAGGGGGTTTTAAAATAGATTATTACCTCAGGTACAATTTTGCATTTTCCTAAAATCTGCTTTAAGATTTTTTTTCTCCTTTAAGCTACAAAGTGAGCATATTTCAGGCTATAATATTATGTGTGGATGTAAATCTTACTAGTCAAAGATCCTCTTCTGCTTACTACTTGAGAAAATACTTGAGGCATGTGTGGTGCCAGTGACAGCACACAATAGCAGTTAAAGCACATGAGCCAGAATGCCTGGGCTTCGCTCACAGCGCTCCTTTGTTATAAGTCAGGCTTTAAAACATTAACAGTAAAACTTACCAACTTCACAAGGGTGTTGTGAAATGTAAGTATAAAGCCTCAGTGAAAACTCCTGCGTAAACAAGGTATTGCTAATCTTTCTCTTTTATTCACTGTGTTAAACTTCATTTGGAAATACTTGAGAGTGAGTTTGATGTGTTTGTTACCGGTGTCTGTAAAAAGGATTTTAACATGATTTTGAAAGCTTCTTTACTGCTTTTTGTTTGCTTGTGTTTGTTTTGTGGCAGGTTGGAAGTGATTTTGGATATTTTCCAAAGGATTTACTTGAAATAAATCATAATTATTCCAATGAGGAGCTAGAATTACCAACAGATGTAAGTCTTACTTGTTATTCTTTAATTGGGCTTCTTACTGTTTCTTACCTTGCCATTCAATAAAATCCCTGAGGAGGAGAATGGGAATATCAGATCCTTAGTTACCTTTTGCTAGTAGGCAGCTACCTATATGCAGAGATGCACATATGTGTTGGGGGGTGGAATGTTTGTGCAGCTATGTGGATGGGTGTGTAAGCATCTGCCCAGAATGTGGGCATTGATCTTTCTTTTCTTGAATATTCTGGTCATCTTCCAACAAAATCTGTTTGGATTAAGCTCTAGAAATGGTGCTATCTGGCTCGCACAAAGGTTGTTTGATATGTGTTCAGAATTGTTTCTTTTTCTGAACTTTGGAAGTTTAAAGCGCTATCGGAAACAAACAAAACCCGATACAATTAGCCGTTTCATTCTAGGATTGGTCCTTCAACCCTTACACACATAAATGGCTTTCATGCACTAATAGCTGGTAACTGCAGAGCTGTGTGTAAGGCCCGTTTTGCGGATGCAGCTTCAGACCCTTACGAAATTGTGTTCGGTGGCTTGCAGTGCTGTTTAATTTATTTTTCAGAAATTATGTGACAGGCAGCTCCTGCTTGGAGGACTTGGTCATTTGAGGAGAGACCAGCTGAAAGAGACTGGGACAAATGAGCTTAGTGACATTCGTTTTCTTCTCCTCGCTGGCATTCAGTAACAGAATTGTTCTTAATTCAGGATACATGCGATCAGTAAATTATAATACTGTTGACTCCACTGCTGACTTCCAGTTTGTTCCTCACTGGGAGGTCTTTGACGAGGCTAAGCCGTAAGCTTTTTATTTAGTTTTTTAGCAGCCCTTGGGCAAAACTTCCACTGATTTCAAAGAGAGTTCTGGTTAAGGACTTAAGGGGTTAATTCTGCATGATTAATATAATCTATTTTGCTGCTGCATCTCTCTCTAACCAACCAAATGGATTTGGTCTCGTCACTGTAATAAAGAAAATAATATTTGTGACTACATATCATTTTCCATTTCAGGAAACAGACTTTGTTTGCTTTGATGGCGGAAGGGATGATTTTGATAATTATAATGTGGATGAGCTTTTGAAGCAAGAGATGATAGCAAATGAAGGGGAAACTGAATCAAGTGATCCAGGAGCAAAACCAGCTGAAGGAACTGAGAGGGATGAGGAGATTGAGCAGGCTGATACAATAAATTCCCCTGATGCTTTGGAGACAGCCAATCTTGAGCTAAGCACAGAAGAAGACAACGAAGCACTCGCGATGACAGAGGAATTAGATAGTTCTCTTACAGGAGGAACTGAAAATACTGGAGGAGACTCCAGTGTCAATAGTCATGAAGAAGACTCTCAGGGAGATCACGTTGCACATGAGCACTTGAAAGGAATGCTACATGGGAAACTAAAAGGGCTAGAAAGCGAAAATACCAAAAATACTAGTATTCCTCAGGGTGAAACCAGTCAACTTGACAAAGAGAGTGAAGAAGTCAATGCCTATACACTTTTAAACAGAGAGTTCTCTGTGAACTTGAAAACAAAATTTGGCTCAACTGCTGATGCTGTTGTATCAGACGATGAGGTGACTGGCCTTGTTACATCGCTGGAAGATGATTTTAATGAAGATTTGAGCATTAATACTTACGATGCAGAGGAGGAGCCAGACTTTGCAGATCAGTCTGAAGAAATCCCTTTACTGTCTTTTACAGCAGAGGAAGAAATTACATCCCCAGCGGATTTAGATGATGATGAAAATGATGACATTGAGTCACAAAATCATGAACTTGAAGATGCAAAGGGTGCTACAGAGCTAAATAACCAAAGAGACAATGAGGAAGAACATGATTCAGATGCATTAATTCTTAAGGATGCCTTCAGTAGGAGCAAGAAGTTAGGTGACAGTGTACATGAGGACAGGTTTGAATCTCAACAAATTAAAGAGAAAGAGGATGAGGTGATGATAATTAGTAAGAGAGAAGCACCAGCAACAACTCAACCTGGGGATCTCTCCAAAGAACTCCTTAGAAAGGAACCTGTAGGTAGAGGTGCCCTGGGTTCGGGAGAAAAAGCAAACGAAACTGAACAGTTTGAAGAGCAGCTCACGGTTGATGGAACTGAGTCATATACTGAAGAGCTGAAGAGTACAGCTGTGCCTGATCCTCATGTTTTGCCTAATCCAGGAGATGATCTGGAGTCCAAATTACTGTTTAAAACCAAGCAAGATGCTTTAAAACCACCTGATGGTGATATCAACAATAGTCCAGAAAGAACGCTGCTTACTCAAATAGAGAAAGATGAGAAAAAGTTTGAGGATGACACCTTGGAAGAGGTCTTGGAAAGTGATTTAAAGCACAAAAATTTATGGGAGAAAACAAAAGAGAAAGGAAGAGCTGAGGACAAGCATTCTGTTGATGTTCCAGCCAAACTGGTGGAAGAGGTAAAAAATGCATCTCAAAGTGACTTAGGAGATACTGACCTCTTAAAAGAGAAACTGGAGCATGGAATGCCCGCTGTGGAGAAGGAGCCTCTAAGCCATGAAGAAGATTTGAAACAAACAGGGGAGACCGATCGTGAAAATCAAACAACGGCTTCTCTTAACAAAGAATCTGGAATAAAAAGGGGAAGCATGAAAGAAACCCCTGCAGGGGAAGGAGACCCAAGCCATGGAGGAGATGTCAAGCAACCCAGGCCATGGGAAAATGAGGCTGAGTATTCGGAGGCAGATACGAAAGAAGCGCTTTCAAGAAATCTTGGCAGGATGACAGTGTTTGAAGAAAGCATTGAGAAAAGTCTCCCTGAAGAAAAATCTACAAGTATTACCCAGAACACTAACACAGAACATCTTACTCGGCAAGGAACTGCTCGTACTGAGGATGCAGATTCAGACAGAAATCTTGGCAGAAATTTATCTAAAGAAAAAATGCTACAACCAGAATTGCAGTCTGAAGAGCCCGATGCTGAAGATGACCCTGATCTGAAACAAGCAGAGGAGGAGCTACTGGAGGATGAGAATGCTGCAAGTGCAAAGCTGTCACAAGCAAAGGCTGCAAATGCACAGGGTGATATGCTAAATGCTACAAGTGCAGACCCTGAATTAGAAGTAAGAAGTCAAGCTGTTCTGGGAACTGCAACTCCGACTTATGAAATAGGAGAGGAAACAAACTCATTTTCTAAGGAGGTTAAAAAAACAATCAGCATGCAAGATGCAACGGAGAGTGGGAACAAAGAAGTTGACATACCAGTGGGCGAAGATGCTAGACTGGATGAGATGGAACGTTTCATGGAAGATGATGAAGAGTCTTCTGAAGCTGAGGAACCGTCAGCTGTGGAAGAGCATAATTTCCAATCTCCTGATGTGGAAGACAACAATGACTTTAACCAAAGGAAAGACCATCTCCCAGAGGACATTTCACAAAAAGACTCAAAAGAGGTGCAAAATTCAGAGCATACAGGAGATGACCACCAGCAGCCTGCACATTTCCCCAGCCCTGCTGACAGCTCAGCAGCCACAAATGACACTGTAACAGACTTCAGTGAGTCTGTGAAGCGTCTCACGATAATCAGAAATTTTCTTGATGAAAAGCGTGTAATGCGTCTACGAAAGTACCTTGGGCTTCAACACATGGTTAGGATAGAAGCCATATTTCACGACATGAAGGTAGAGATGGAGCTTGCTCAGAAGGCAAGCCATAATAACGAAGATATAGAAAAAGCCTTGGACCAGATACTGGAGTTTTCAGAATCGAGCATTATGGATATCGTGGGAAAAGTTCTGGATTCTAGAGTGGCAGAAAATAAAGAGGAGGTGGTGAGAGAGATGGATTTGTATGATGACGAGAGCGCACTGATAGATGACCTTCAAGAATTAATATATTCTTTAAGGAGTAAATATTCATCTGCTAGTGAGAGCGTCCCACTTGCATTTATTCCAGAACAGGAAGATGATCAGCTGCACGTTCAAGGTAGGATGTTAAACCATTTAAAAAACAGATGAGACGGAAGTAGAACCCTCTTGCAGACAACACTGTGTAACCTAGAGCTTTAAGAAGAGGGTGAAGGAGCAGAATTGAAAGAGGCCCTGTGGAATCTGCCAGGATTTTGCTTATTTTTAATGCATTTTTTTGGCACTATAATGGGTCTCCCAGGGACAAATCCTGAGAGAAAATGTTCAGCTCAGCATGTCTGTTCTTACAAGAAAGTGGGTTCTGTGCAAGAAAGTGGGATCTGTGCATGGATATGGGTGGGAGCCACTCAGGTCATATCTATGCCCCTCCCCCTTTCAAGAAAATGGGATTCACATACACTAATGTGCTGAATTTTCTAGAGGGTTTAGGGCAGTCTTTTTTTCTGGACTAGCTAGCACCTAATTGTGAGAGATCTGGTGATTAATGCAAAGTTCAGGCACTAAATACATGCATCTAAAAATCTCAGGTGGTCCCTATCATGATATTTTTGCCCACATTCATAAAAAACTGCCTAAGCAGAAATACTGAACAAACAGGTCTTTTGATGAGGGAAGAACCGGGAGTAGAGTCTCCTGCAAACTTGCTGTTTTTTCTAATTAATGTGCAAGATGGTTAAGATATGCTCTTAGCAAGGCTCCTTTTACAGTAGTACCTGTTAAGTATGTGATTTCTGATAAAGTCACGAATGACAACAATACTTCGACTTGCATAATTCCATATAAACATTTAATTAGATGTTACTAAAAATTGATTGAGAATATACTGGAAGCAATACATAAGCCGAAGTGTTTAAAAAGTTTTTGTCAAATGCAGTATTTCACTGGAGACAGCTGCAGGTAAGAAATACACCTTAGTTCAGTGCTTAATTCGTGTCTCCCTGTCTGTCTAGATGGTGCAAAAGAGCCTAAATATGACAGAGTTTCTATCAGCAACGCAAATGCCATTGATAAGAGCAATCAGAAATTTCAGCAGCCTGAAGATAAGACTCCAGAACAGCCTATTGAGGAGGAAGAGGAGGAGGAGAAGAGGGCTGCTAATGTTCCCCCTGAGCACGAAGAGGCCAACTTCGCAGATAATAGAGAAGCTGAAGAAGGATACAATAGTGAAAGAGGATCACTGCTGGAAGATACTTCCTTTGGGCCAGTTGATTCAGGACAGAGTGCCAGAGAAGATACTGTTGCAGGTAACCTTTTGGATTTGGGTTGGTTTCTTCTTTTGCTTTCAGAGGAGCATGGTTGAATGGTTTTTAGGCAAATACCAAGGTTTTTTGCTAATGTTTTCACTGTCTGTTGCTATAATCCCAATGACTTTCACTAATGGGTGACCGTCGCTCTAGTGGCAGTATTGTCTTGGTACCACTTGTCTCAGCAGAGAGGTTTTTCTACTACCTTTTCATGGTATAGAAGAAAAGTGCCCCTGTAAGTGCCATATTCAGAGCGCGGTGCTCGGGCTGGTGGACTGTGTCTGAGGGTGGTCGTGGATAAAGAGCAGGCATCACTGGAAGCGTACCATCGGCCTAGGTTTCCTCCACTTTGTAGGGGGACTGACAATCTAACCATTAGACTAGAGAATCATGTGAGCTCTCTTCTCGCCCTTTTTAACCTGTGACTCTGGGCTGTGTGACTGCCAAAAATCCTTCTCCAGGGAAGATGAAGTGTAGCTTCCCTCAACCAGTTCAATAATTTCTGGCTAAGGTGTTTGTTGGAGTAGGAGAGATGTTTGGTTCCGCTGAGGACAAAATAAAATCGGGCCTTCTCCCTCTGGAGCAAGTGTGCTGCCCTGTGCTGACTGGTCACTGTGGCAAGGAGGGATCCTCTTACCGTCATCTTCCTCAGCTCTGTTTTGGCACGAAACTACCTTTGACTCCATTCTCGGTGCTAAGCTCAGCTTTGCTGTTCTGCATTCACCTCTGATTATGCTTAATAAATCTGGCTTCACTGAGCATTTAGAAAAAATTGCTTAGTTTTTGTATGCTACTGAGGTGCTGTACCACCCCCACAGCCAAACACTTTTGAGCAGCCTCTAAGTTCTGAGGGAAACTCTAGGTTGAATGTAAAGATACCTAATGATTTTAAAGTGGCTGGTGGATTACTTGTGTGGTTAAGCACTTGGAAGTTCAGCTGTATTTTAGACCATCTTCCATTCCTTCCTTAATGGTGGTTAGATGCTGTTTACCAGTAATTCGCTGGGAAGAAACAGGGCGGGTGCTCGCAGGATGGCTGGTCACGGCAGCGGTTCCACAGTGTAACGCCAGGCTGGGCAGGTGGTTATGTGAGTCCGCTAACCTGCGTTCGTAGCAACAGCAGCAGCCAGAGGAGGAGGCAGGCTTCAGATCAGGGTAGAAGTAAAGGCGGTTTAAAGCTTACAGCCGTACTAACAGTGGTGTAAACCTGCTGGAAGATGGAGGTTGATGGATGGAGGTTGATGGATGAGGAGCTGAGGAGCGTGTGCCGCTCTGCTGCCGTCGCCTTGCTGCTGAAGGAGCTGTACGCGCGCCGGGGCAGGCCTGGCAAAGCGACCTTGTGGCTCCATCTCCCTCCCCGCGGTGCCTTCCCTAACGCAGCCTGCGGAGCGTCGCCACCCCTTCTGAGGGCCTTCGCCCCTCTCTCTC